GGCTGCCCTAAAACTGTAAGCCAAAGACAGAGAAAAACATGAAAGGTTTGGTCTTGATGAGCACTTAGATTTCACTAAACTTTCGATGCTCATAACCCTGCGTGTGATTTACAAGCATGTGAAACCAGAGGCTGCCCCGACGGGGCTTGCTCTGGTGGAACCTGTGTCCTCCACATGCTCCTGTGACTCCCAGGCACCGGACTGCTGTCTCTCGAGAGCCCCACCTCAATGGGCTCAGTCACCCGGACAATTAGCAGCTTTCAGCCTTACGTCCTCTCCTCCCCTGCTAAAAAGACTGCTTCGAAAAGCATCTTTTGAAATGAGGATCCAAGTAGATAGAGAGGGACAGGAGTCCAGTGACACTTGTTAGAGTGATAGACAAGCCTTTCAGCTTTGTCTGCTGCGTGCTGCCAGCCGATAGCTGCTGAGGGTGTGAAACTCTCCATTCTCCAACTGCTCAAGAGAACTGAGTGGCAGAGAACGGTGCTGGCTAGTTTCCTCGAGGGGCCACCCTGTAGGTGACAGGTGCAGTCTTGACCTTCCTTCTGCGCACACGCAAAGCTAAGGCCTGACTTTCGTGTCCTTGGTAGTCAGGGGTGCTTTGGTGAGATTACACTAAAATACCTTTGGGTGGTCTTGTAAATTTTAACATAGTTTACAGATATAATTGCAAACCACAGATTTTAGGAACAGGAAAAATAACAATCTTGCCAACTAGCTGGGCACCAGACTCCAAAATGGAGCAAAAACAGGAAAAAAATTAATGGGTAAAGCAATTTGCCAGTTAGAATTAACTACTGAGATTTTTAAATATCATTTTTGAAAACTTTATATCAAGTGTCTTACACGCTGCCAGAGTTAACTCATCTCTTTGCTCAAACTGGACAAGTAATATATATAAACTAAGTAAATGACAAAAGTTATATAGAGCAGATGACTACTGGTGTCCAACTATTTGCTCTCAGGAATAGGACGTGGATGTAGACTGGGCAGAGAAAATTTGTCTCAATCAGTGTGTAACTAACCCAGAGGTTTGGCTCTGACTAGATCAGTAGTTTTCAAATTGGCTACACATTTAAAATTACCTGGGAAAGCTTTCAAAACATATCAATACCTGGGTCCCAACTCCACAGACTGTGATTTCATTTAAGTATCGCAATTTTTTGAAAGATATTGTGCAGACATTTTTGAGAACCAATGAGCTATTATTCCTGAGGACTTTAGAAAGACGAAGCTGGTTCTAATACTTGCCAGAAGCTCTGATTCAGAATTCAGATATAAACTCAATTTAAAGATTTCAAATCACCTTGTATCTTAAACAAGTTTTTTTCCCCTAAGGATAGCACAGTTTTTGTAATTTCCCACTTTGGAATGAAACAAGAACACCACCACAACACAATAATAACAACAACACATATGCACACACATTCACAAAATGAAGATTTTAAAGTTTGCTCATCAATTTGATGTTTGGGCTATTCTTCATAGTTTCTAAGTATTAGTGACTAGCTTATAGAACACACTATCATTAAAGACCTATCAAATCACTACCTATTTTTAAAACACATTTCTGACTTACTCTTTAGTTTCAACTCTACAACTTATTTTCTGTTGCAAAAAGAAGTCAATTCTGTAGCTTGTGCTTTGCATTTTTTGCAGATTAACTTTTGCCCCATAAACTGCAGACAGTTTAGCCCCCAGGGTACTACAGTCTCCTACAATTTAGGCAGAACAATCTTGGTGTTTAAAAATAATGCATCATATTTATAGTTTCAGTTGGGGCCCATTTAGGGAAGAGTTGTCCAAGTCCCCTAATGATTGGCTCTTTGCTGATGATGTGCCTCTCAAGCAGTTATAAGAATCAGGCTTAGCAGAAGTTTAAAGAGATTAATCAGCCAAGCCCATCTCCTTGCCACCAAAAAAGGTCAGACTTTACCATGTGACAGAAATCACTGTCAGTTCTTAATTGACAATTAGCAGAATTCCAGATTTCCTTATAGCCAGTACTAGTTTTTAGAAACTCTTATACTCAGGAGTTTCTCTTTATGTCTGATTTAATTTATTCCTACTGGTCATTAATTAATGTCATCGTGAGGGGGTCTCCACTGTGGTTTTTATCATTTTCATTTAAAAAGTGGACATTGGGTTTAGTATGTATTATTAATTCTGTGATTTTAGTATTGCAACTGATACTTTGGTCTGATAAACTGCTTTAGGCTTTCTTTTAGGATTTTAAAACTGAAAAAATAGAGAAGAGTTGATACGTATAAGAATTTATGAAAATTCTTGGCATTATTTATGCAAAACGATTATTGATAAACACAGAATACTGTCATGAATACATTAACTACTTATATATCAAAGAAGCCTGAAAAAATTGTTGTGAAATAGTTGTGAAAATGTTTTCACTTCATAAGTCTCTGAAGGGCAGACCATCAAAATCGGTGATATGATCAACTCATGAATGTGTTGGCCTGTGTCCCATCATACAGTAGCATCTTCCTACACTTCACATTGGGGAGTTCCACAGAGACTGAGATAAGAGCCACCTGCAGCAAAACCTACCTGAGGTAAGAAGAATGTGATCTCATTATTCACTATACACACACAGATATCTAATGTGATGTATTCCTCTCTTATTGACATTACTAGTGCCAAACACTAAAAGCATTTAAAATATTGCACTTTAAAATATGTTGTATTGGCTCACTAGAATAATGGATTTTGAAATTTACTTTAAGGCCTGGAAGTCCTGGAGCTCTTTTGGAAGGGGGGGAGGCAAATCTGCAAGAGCTCCTAGAGGCCTGCAGAACACACATTGCAGAACCATGGCACTGTGGCATCCTTGCTTGTACAATTTTATTGTGTGATGAAATGTCTCCATGTCAGAACAGAATACCCAATGAATATCTCATTCAATAGCTCCATGAAGCTATAAATTGAAATAGAGGGACTTTGAAGGAACCCTAATTTAAAAGGTAGTTGTTCCTTAGGCAGTTAAATCAAAGTAGAAGCAAGAAAGTCAATTTTTTAGTTCTGACAAAAACACTTTTATACTTTTTGCATCTATATTTTGTCATACATAACCTTTTAATACCAACGTTTTTACTCAAAAAATATTTGAAACCTATGTTCTCTCAAATATTTCAAAACATGGTTCTAAGCAAATTGGCAATATGAATTATGGTGTACAGCCTTCAACTCAGTAATGATCTTTCTATGAATGAATATTAAGGAAGTCATCCATAAATAATATGTACAAGAATGATAACGTTATTTACAATAGCAAAAAGAAAAGACTGGAGTCATCCTAAATGTATCATAATAAGGAAATGGAGCACCCAAAGTGTTAAAAACTAAGTATTTGAGAAAAGTTTTCAAATCTGGGAAAGTCTTCATAACATGTTGTTAAGTGAAAAAAAGAAGGCTAAAAAGATGTATGTGTGATTCGATTTCAATTTTATTTTAAAGTGTTTTAGGAAAAAAGCTAAAAGAAAACATGCTCTTACCGTGTTTTCACATTATTAATATGGACCTGTATTACCTTTGCAACAATGAAAAATCCATTTAATTTTAATATAAAAACTGGAAGAAAGTATATAAAATATTAATAGTGTTTTTTTAATTGATAGAATTACAGATGATGATTTTTAAAATATTTCCCTCAATTTTTTTTCTTTTATGGAGAGCATATTTAACTTTCATAGGAAGGAAAACTATACTGTTAGTGAGTCATGATGCATTTGTGCTGCATCTCTACTCTTTGCTCATTAGTACCACTGGCAGTGAGTTCTCAGGACACATTTCAGAATGTATTTGTTGAATACTGATGTGCAAAACTCAAATGCACTATTTTAAAGATTTTTGATTATTTGCTCTGAATTCTAATGAAAAGTTTTATAGAAAGAAAGTTAAAAGTACTGAGCTAAAAAGACTTGCCAAATGATCTGTGTCTTGGTGCCAAAAGTCCTTTTCCTTGAAAGGTTTCCTTCTCTTATGCAGTATGTCTTGGTGACACTGTTACATCATGAGCTTGAGGATGGGTGGTCCAAGCAATATAGCATTATCTGTATTCTAATTAATTTATTCTACATATATTTTTTACTTGGTTGTTACTGAATAGATATCAGGAATATATCTGTATGTTTTCTGACTTGTTTCTTCTGGTTTGGTGTTCTTACCTTTGAGTGGAGTACAACAAAGCAAGGAGTTCATTTCTACATGAGTAGAAGAGTATACATCCTCCCTCAGTTTTGTTCTAGTTAAGAAATGAAAAGGATAACCAGCTCTTCCCAAATCATATTATTGCTTTGTTTCATTCTAAAATTGTCATGAGCTGTTAAATGTCTCTTAATTTTAGAATGCCACAATTGCTTTATAGCTTAGTACTGCTAATAGTGTGTTGTGTTACTCTTATGAAACAAAATAGATAATGATTTTATTTACATATGTATATTACTTAACATGAGAATTCAAATTAGAGAAGTGAGAAAGAAGGCAATAGATACGCCTATATATCATATAGATGGCTAATTATAGATAAAAATATTTGACTTACCTGTAAAAACATTGCACAAAAAAGTCATAGTATAAGTAGCATTTTTTATAACAGACTCAAAAACAGATACGATCAAAGAATGATTTGCAATTGCCAAATAAGCAAAAGACCTCTTTGTTTCCACTAGCAAATGCTGATGTACAATCCTAAATATTATGGCCATTAAACAATATTTAAACAAATCCTTTATAAAGATGTTATTTTAAATATGTAAAGTACATAGGGAAAGCATGTCAAAACATCAATCTGACTGCATTGCTCAATAGCAAATAACATATAAATTTAACGTCATTGTCCCAATTCAGTTGCCATATTATTGTTCCCTTATCTTCTCCTTCAATATTCTTTCTTTTATTACAAAGAAATACCTTCAGTGAGGAAGACAACACTAAAATAAAATTAACATAGCCAGAGCAAAAATAAATAAAATTTAAAAGCCAACCTTTATTCCACTTTGAACAAGTTTGTGAATGTCCAAATAAGGCTCCTTGAAAATTTCTCCTTCAGGGGTAAGTATCTTCACGTAACCTTCTTTTTCCAGAATGAAGAGACGGTGCGAGCCATCCCCGCTATGCAGGGCGCCAACAGGCTGTCGCAGCCCACTCACAACCTCCTGGATACAGAAGCAGTTGTGTTTGTGCTTTCTAGACAAATCAAAAAAAAAAAAACAGTAAGCTTTTCTCGAGGTGGAGGAGGTAAGGGATGCACGGAGCACCCTTTTCACAATATATTTCCTCTAGGAATCAATGGTTTTGAGAATCATGAAGTGCTGCTAAACTAAGGGTCACAACATGATTCTTTTACATGATTCTTTTGATTCTTTTCAACGGGAAACAGCAAAACAGCCTTCTCTCAGAATCTAAACGAGAGAATCGAAACATGTATGTATTTTAAAATTTCATAAGCTCATTATCTCATTGCTCAGTGACTATAATTAAAATTAGCTTTTGCTCACAACAATTAAACCTTACAGAAAGGCATGCAGAGAGAAAGTTCTAAGATCTATTTGTAAAAATCTGATTTGCTAATAATAATTGTGCTGAATATTTCCACAGTGCCATAAGCTAACAACAATCATAAAATTCAAGTTTAAAACTATACCTATAAAATTTGCATGAGTCATAGAGAAGCCAAGCTCATAATATAAGATTAGTAGTCTAAGTATTAAAAGCATTTAAGCTCTGATTTTAGAGAAGCAAACTACCAAAAAGAAAAAAAATAAAGCATCTGGAGGAGATAGCTGCTGAACCTAAGCACAGACAGTTGATTCACTGTCAAAACCACAAGATTTGTCAGTTGGGCTTTTTTTTTTTTTTTTTTTAAAGATTAAAGAGCATTTATCTTTATGAACCTGCTGATCTCTTCCACTTTGTCATATTCTTCCATCTGGTCCAAGTAGTTAGATGCTGGTCCTCTGACTTGTTTTCTTGGAAAATCTGGAAAGCACAACCCACCATCTTTTCTTGCATAGTAAAAGCAGAATTCATCAGCAGTTGTTTGAAGGAAACCTTTAAAAAATATAAAAAGACTCATTAGGAATATTTAGTGTCATAGTAAAACTACCTCATTTAACAGATATAATATGGGAAAAGAGAGCTTTTAGAAACTATATGAATATTCTAGGAAAAATTAGACTCAAATAAAGAGAACAAAAAAAAATGGGGAATTAGGATTTCCATTTGTTTCTAACCAAAATCTAAGAATTGAAGTAAAACTGAAATAAGATTGTGCTGGATATTTTAAAAGGCTCTTATGAAATACACAAAATACAAACCCAGCATTGATCTTGACTTTTTTTAAGCTTCTCCAGTTATCATATGTTACACATGTGAGCTTATTTCATCACCATTCAGCATTTTTTCCTACAGTACTAAATAACTTCTGAAGAAGAACAAATTAGAATAAAGAAAGAGATAGGCCATCAGATGCCAGTGTTGGTTATTTGCAATTCTAATAGTTTTGCCACTCACATATGATTAAATAATAAATTTAATGAACAACACAAGGTCATTATACACCCTAATAAATAACTGACTCACTGTGCAATGATCAAGCAATGAATTGATGCTGATAACAGAGCCTCCATTTTCAAATATGGTGATATCTTTTTCCTATACCTCACTTACAGGAAAAAATGATTATTTTATCATAAAAATTATATTTAAAATATCCCTTCAATCTTCTAGCAGAAAAGCTGACATACCACTGAGCCAAAACAAAAATACAAAATCAACATACTTAATTGGATCTAAAAGAAAGATGTGTTTTCATTTCTTATATATTAAGAATGTTATCAGATAAAAACAGCTAATTTTGAATAAAAAAGAAAAGAACTTTATGACAAAGAAGAGTTTTGATATTTTAAAATTTTGATTAATAAGGTATTGGTTTGGGGGGCATATTAATAAGATTCACATCTACAATCTGATGACTTCTGTTTCATACCTTTAATTATATTTAAAGTTTTGACTGTTATCTAACAAATTAGATCATGATACCCCTATCAATTCTGTGATAAAGGCAGAGTATAACTTAGCAGAAGTTGAGAAGCTGCATAACAAATTCAAGTTTAGCAAGGATTTCTAAGAACAAGAATTTGAGGTCAGCCAAATGAGGCTTATCAATGGAGCATAAAAGACACTCAAAGTTTATTTTCTGTGTACTTGACCTTGGACCTCTCAAACTAAAAAACTTATCTTAGAATGAGAGGGTCCCAAATGGTTAAAGCTTGATGGACATTTTGGCCTAACTTTTGGGTGAAATGTATAACCCTTAAATTTCTGAGAGAGACTCTTCAAGGCCAATATCTGACATGGCCACTGGGAAAGATTTTGTCTTTGGGAACCAGGCAAGTCAGAGTAGAGTCCTTAGGAGCATGTATGTGTGAGTGTGTGTGTGTGTGTGTGTGTGTGTGTGTGTATGAGAGAGAGAGAGAGAGAGATGTGGGAGGCACACAAAAAAAGGGAGACATAGCAGCTGGGAAAGGTGCTCTATGGGAGGGGCAAGGCAACTGGAAAAAATTCAGGGATTAGAAATTGGGGAGGAGAATGAAGGTTCTAGCAACAGTGATTCATCTTTAGCAATTCACCATTTGCAACAGATAATTCTTTTCCTCCATTCTTTAATGGCTAAGATTCAAATGAAAATTGCCTAATAGTGTTAAACAGGATTAAACCAATTGAACTAATTGAGTGCAGACATTTCACGCTACAATAACCTACTGCTGAGAAGATGGGGTCTAAGAGTGATAAAAATCATTGTGATTAAAGGTATAAAAAAAGAAGCAAGATCAATGGATGCCCATTGATATGCTTTCCGTAGAGTGCATTCTGCCATCTTTTAGTAAACAGCAAAGTATCTACCCTGCTCATTCAGGCAGAAGACAAGACCTGCAGAGTTGAGCAAAGGGCTCCTGTGTTTGTTGAATGTAATTCTGGCATTTTTAGAAGTTTTAAAAATGTACTCCCTTAAATAAATTCATAACTGAAGAATAATATTATAATTAATAAATCTCTAGTGTGTGCTTACTAAATTGCTTCTTAATTACTTTTCTCATTTTGGGGAAAATAAGCAGACTATGAGTAATTCTTAATTAAAATCTCTAGATAGTGTCTGCCTTTAAGGAATATGAATGTTCTAAAGAGATTGTGTTTTCTTAAATGCAACAAGGCAAAGTAAATGGTTAGATTATGTATATATTTATTTCTTCATGTATTGGGCAATAGGGAAAAAAATGAAGATATCTCTGGAATTATTTTCCTCTCCCAATCCCTTTCAGTATTTGCCTTCTTCTAACAAAACACATCCTTTAGAGTGCCTTTTTCTTCGATTTGTAGAAAGATGAAGCTATTAATGAGGACAGTCAAATATGTTGATTAGTTTCTTATAAAAAGAATTGCAAAGTGTAATAGCTGTTTTCAATTTTGAACTACTGAGAAAATAAACCATGTCACTAAATAGACTTAAGAAGGGAAAACTATCACAAATTTGCTTTTATAGCAATTTCCCCAAAACTAGTATTTTAGAATTCTAAAGGCACCTCTGTGCTGGGGCCAGGGGCTGAGGGGAGGATTACCATATTCATATTCATTGTTCTTTAGGAAATGGTAACCTATGTGCCAAGGACCAGTCTAACTAACAAATCAATTAACCTAAGTTACTCAAAGAGTGTGTTGTTACAGCTCACTTTTGGAAAGCATTTAGAATGATTATGAGCACTTGACATATGCAGGGACAGCCCCATGCTTGTCGCTAAAGCCTTCCAGAATCTCTGGAAAGCACCCTTGCTGCTCCATCCACCTCTAGAGTGGAGCTTTCATCTGGTTATCTTTCAAGGCAGCCTGGGTGGCCACCAAAAGCACTTGACATCTTGATGCACTTCAGCAGTTTTACATATATACAAACTTTGTAGAAAAATAAATTTGTCATTCGTTACCACATATGTTGATCTGAGGAGTGAGGTGCTTGCAGGTTCTGTCTCTGAGCTGTTTGCTGTGCTCCCTCTTTCAGTGGACACAGCTTTTATTTTATTGTTTTTGGAAGCTAGAATAATTTCAAATATATAAAGACCCCCACAGATAAGTCCCCAAATCGAGCATGTTTTATTTAGCTAAAGTAGATAATGGTAAACGGAAATGCTCAGTGTTGGTATCACTTTCAATTTATAGTCCGGAAGGCAAATGTTTAAGACTTGAAGTTTGCAGCAAACCTTTATGGTATCTAATCTGTTGTCGCTTCTCTGTCAGCCATCTAGGCAACCATGACCTATTCCACCTTGCTTTGGGGAATGGGATAAAGAGGAATAAACAGCTGGTTTAAGAAAAGTCTAAGAAACATGGCTGTAATTTACAAAGACAATAATAATATTTTCACATAATGGGTTTAGATACACGTTATGCTATACCCAAGGGAGAAAGCAACCCTAGTCAAAGTGTTTTCTTAAGTTACTAAGAGAGTTCTATTAAAAATACCCAAATCTACACTTTTCTGGGACAGAAAAAAAGGAAAATGTACACAGCAGCTAAAAGTTCTCTCAGTGTACTCTACAGTTTTTAAAGCTTTTTTTTTCTTAAATACCATTTCATTTTATAAACTGTTAACTTCAGTAGATTTGTTTATATGTGACTTTGCCTAACTAAACAAAATCTGTCTCATTAAATTATTTTCTTCCTCTATGTTGATTCTTACAACTAAAGTAACAACCACCAAAGTTGACAAACTTTTGGTGATAAAAATAATCAATGCCCAAACATCTATATGTTATTGGAGCCCAATATATGATAGTGATGGAGCATATATTTATGACTTTGTATGCATAAGAACTTCCATATCTCTCCTATCGCCTTCTCATTGTACAACTTTGGTTAAAGCATTTAACTTCTCCTGGGCTCAGCGTTTCTCATCTGTCATAGGCAGAAGACTCCACTGTTCTTATCTCCCTCACAGGATTTCTGAGGAGCAAATTAGTCTTCATACCTGAATGTGCTTTATAAGGTATTACTTTTTTGGATTCCTAATCATTTTTTATCTTAGTGACAAAAAACTGGACATTCTCCAATTATGTATCAGCTACATGGAAGAGGAGGCTGCCTTGATATTGACGCTGATGGGTAAAGAAGACACCAACAAGAAATTTGTACTGATAATCCAAAGTGTGTAAAGATTAACGACTATATTATCCACTTAATAAGAAAGGTAAAACATTCTTTAAAGCGAAATCACAATACTCCTTTTAGCAGCAATAAAAGATATAATTTGGAAAGATTAATTATGAAGTAAAATAGGTATTTTCAAAGGTGAGATAAAGTTTACAACTCTTGGAAATAAGCATTTAGGAACAGGTATCTTGTAAGGACATTTTGCAATGGTTTATTTAACATATTCATTTTTTACCTGGAATATGGCTTCGGCAGGTATAAAAGAATTCTTTGCAATAGTCTTTGCAGAGCAGGGGAAGGACTAGGTCCCTTTCCAAGACTTCTCTCTCAGGTGAGTGGAACAGGCTTTGCGAATGTGGAGAGCAAAGTGCACATTTGATTTCCTCCAATAACTTCCCACATTCAGTGTTGTTGGTAACAGAAAATATCTGAAAGCCATAAATCAGAAACAAACATCTTTTTAGTTATGCGAAGTCAGGTTTGTTTATTTATTTATTTACTTGCAATCACGAAAGTAGAACAGTCCAAATTAATTTAGTAATGAAGTTTTTCTGAAAAGAACTACTGTGTCACAATACAGAATGCCTTTATAAGGATACAAGGACAGTCTCTGGGGCTGGGCTGGGAGAACAAAGGGCAGGGATGCATAAAAGTGCTTTACACCCTTGCGAATCAAATCTGTCTTTCAGGTGTGAAAACGTGAAAGACAAATAGATTTAGACTCTTTAACCCTTTTCACTTTATTCTGCCTCAAACTATATACTGAATCATATTTACCTTTAAAATTCCAAATACCTTTATCCAACTCCATGCAAAGCAGCATTATTTAAGATATGGCTTATGTGTATCTTAGGTAAAAATCTATTTCATTCCTAAAATTCCTAATATGATTTTCTAAAAAATGTAATTGAATTACATTTTTAAAATTTCAATTAATTTTCAATCTACAGGCTGTATAGGGAAAGTTTTCTAAAATGAGGAAATATCAGCCTTTCATGTTCTATAAAAATAATATTCGAAGTGGAATCAAACGGGCTTATGACCAATTTTTATTATTCATTATATCTTAGCCAGGAAAAACTTTCTAACTAGTTCCTCAGGTATGTTATATGCATGAATAAACACAAGAGTTTGATGAAAGTGCTTTTGTATAGTATGCAGTGAATTTTAATGAAAAAGGTATACTTTTATCATTATTTTTACAATGATACGTTTTTTATTTCAATGACGCCAATTTGGAAATTATTGATACATTGAGGTTAATAGTTAATAGGATTGGTCTTGGTGTCTAGTAGTAATTTTAAAAAATGACTTCAGGAGCTCTTTAATAAATATCTGCACAATATTTGAGACATGAAATGTAATGCTGTCTAAATCAAGCATTGATTTTTCATATTAAAAAACACCATAATGAGATTGAATTTTATACCTTTTCCCAATTCACCTATGTTTATATTGAATTATTTCTTTAGAACTATGAACTAAAATTAATATTTTAAGCTCTAGATCATTGTTTCAAGCAAATATTTCATTCACAAGTTGAAGTTCTAATTTGAGTAAATCTTATGGCCTCTAATTTTTGGGATTATGATATTCTAGGTGATCACAAAAATCTGGACCTGAAAGAGTAAAGTAACCAGAAAAAAAAATCATCGAATACAAGCATGCTGAAATTTTAATATGAAGTATTTAAAAGTCCCATAGAAGTTACCCTATTTTGGAAAAAAAATATATACAGTCTTGTAACTATCTACAATATTCAGAAAATTTATTATTAATCACAGTTATGTTTACATTTTTATCAATTTATTTAAATGACAATTGCCTAAATGGTTAAAGTTTTCTAAAAGAAAACATACACCAGACACTTAGAATTTGCATTCCAAGAATGTTTTAAATGTCTTTTATTGTCCACACTCTGGCAGACCTCACCAGATCTATTCAATATTAATAGTGTTCAACTTTGTTCTGTTTGTTTATCATATAGCAGTCCCCTAAGAACAAAACAAATGCAGGATGCTGAAGCCACCTCCTTCGCTGGCTGAAAAAAGTGGAATGTAATTACCTTTGGTTTTATGGAGAATATGCATGCTTCCATTTTTTATAGCTGAAATAAACTGATTCCCATGCACTCTCCCAGCTGCTATCCAGGAAGAGCTTGATTTTAGCGCCTAAAGAACTTTGTCTTTTACAATTTTTGGAATGTGTTCTGGCCACAAGATCTCCCATCAAAAGTTTCAGAAATAGGATTCAATAAATTATCTGAAATCAAGTATAATATTATTCTTTTTAAAGTTTCATGCTGTTCCAGCCCAGCAGGATGGTAACATTTTGCTCTGTGTGAGGTCTGCAGTGTAAATACCTATTTGAAGATAGATAGAGCCATCATTCTGGCTTTGGTTTCAATGAACCAATAGTCTTACTGAAGTCAATTAAACTGACTGAGCCAAAGCTGCAACACTGTTTTAGACAGATGAGGATGGGTGTGTGTAGGGTAACGTTTTCCTCTTTTTTTGCTTATGTGTCTGTGTCTGCAAAGGTCCTTAACTTTATGTCTGACAATGCCATCAATCTTGAGAAGAAATTCAAGCTAATTTCCTGTTTCGATTTTTAAAAGCTATATACGAAACCATCAAATTAATTAATCTAAATATACTTCAGAAATCATGTAAAACTTGGAAACATTATTACAGCATGCCTAGGAATGACTGTGGCTGTTGCTGACTAATCTATAACATCTGGCAGGTCATCCTTTAATCTTTAGCCACATGAAAGTAAAATCCATAGAAGAAAGGTAAGATAAATAGGGCATACACAGGAAAGCGTGGCCTACAACTATAGCTTATCAACAAATAGTAAAAGGGGTGACAGAGACCTTCTGTATTTCTCTTTATTTATCAAGTAACTAAACAAAGAGGGCAAAAAGGCACCCACATGGGTTCGATGAGGGGACAAAAGGAGAAAATACATGACAGTATATTAAGATGTCGCCTACAGATCACTCTGTACACAAGAAGTTATTTCTAAAAATCATATGCCTACAAGGTTGTTCAGCTGTTGGGTGGAACACATGCGTCTCAGGACTATAGTGCTGGATTATGTCATTAAAGAGTTCAGTTTCAATTTTAGGCTAATATGTAAATAGATCATTGTACTAAGGCAGCTGTTAAAGGGACCCTGGGATGAGTTATTTGTTTAGTTGGATGTGTTCAACAATAGCCTTTGTCCCTGAAAGAGCCAGAGCAAACAAATGATTGTAAAAGGGCACACTTGAAAACAATTACTTTTCACCCATTCCTTGACAGCTTTGGCTGTGAAACCACCCAAGGTAGAGAGAGCTTCTATGCCTCTGTGGCTACAAGTTAAGTTTTAGAAATGGGGGTATTTCAGTTGGTTGCAGATTCAATTTGGCTAATGGGAATTAGATCCTTTTAGCATGCTGTATTTAAAAGCTGCAATAATATTGCTAAGATAATATGACTTCCTAAATTTTGGCAGTACTTATAATGGTAGTTAACAATCTCATTACAATACACAATGTTATTAAAATATACAAAAAGAATGTAAAAGCATAATACCATGGATAAAGAATTTAACTCAATGCTAGTTCATTAAAGAAAATTTGTTAGTCTAGAAACTGGATTTAATTACATGGCTGAGCATGCTCAATATTCCTACCTAGTTGGCTACTATCTATCTAAGAAATTTCTTCACTTAGGAAAAAGCTACTACTGTAGTTTCTTGAAAAGTTACAGAAATCTTTCTGGGGAAAAATTTTTTTCTTTCATAAACAAAAAAGAGCTCTTTCAAATAGCAATCATCTCTCCTGTATACACATTATGAAATCAGACCCTAACATATATTATAATCCAGGAAGGCTTATGGGAAAAAGGGAAACACTGAAGTTTATTATAAAATAACATGTTTTAAAAACTATTAAAACTTGAGAACTAACATAGGTCAAGAATGCATATGCATAGCTATATCGAATCTCTGTTTTGAACAATTTGAGTATTGTTAGTTTATAAACCACTTATAATGGAACCAGCAAAGTCTAGTGTACCAAATTTAATTCAAACACATTTTCCAAATGAGTAGGGGTTTGTTGGAGATTGGAAGCACGTAAAACAGAAAGGAATGTGGATAAAACGTGGCAGATTACTTCCTAAAGAATGATTTCTTTAAAAAAATTTTATATAACTTCTCCTAAGAGTTATAACTCCCCTCAGTTCCGTCCCCACTCCCATTCTCCCGATTATTTAGTTAAGAACAAAGTTTTCATTCCACATGTTCCTGGAAGAGTTCAGTATTGCAGGGATCTCTAGATCATTGGGATATTCATAGTATACATTGCATAAAGGGAGATTTAATGGCAAATATTTCTAAACTTTTCTCTGAATTTCCTGGTTGTTTAGGGCTCCTGGTCAAACTCTTAAGGTGATCTGAATGTAGCTATTTTGGAACTTAATTCAGTTACAACACAGAAGCTTAATGATATTGTTTTGAATAAAATGCTGGAATATCTGTTCCCTGAATCTCAGACTACTGCTGCATATGGTAAGAATAAAGAGAGAGTTGCAGCTGAAAACCTGCAGCAAGACAGTTCTCACTCATCTGGGAATAGAAAGAGTTGGACAAATGCTCCCTCAAAAGGCATGAACATTTGGACAGAGCTGGGGACTGAAAGAGAATGATGTTCTCTAGTTTCACCCATTAGTGAACCAACTAACAAATACAATGGTGTTGTTGTTATTCTTTTGCCATAAGCAACAGGACTCTGTGTGTGGGCAGCAGTTTAGTGGGGAGGAGGATAAGTCGACCCCTTTTTGTCCTATTGATTTTTTCCTATTTGCATGACTTGAGCAAATTAAATGATGCAATATGGCTTTTTGTTACAAAACAAAGTGAGAGATACCACCCAGACACATATGTTGATTCGTAGGAGCTGTTTACATGAGAATAGAGTGAAATCTACCGTGAACTGAGCATAAAAATTAGATTCAGCCTGGGTATTTTTTTTTTTATTATGCTTGGGCCAGCAAGACTGAAGCACAAGTTTTCCAAGAGTCTCTCAGACCTTGACAACTGCAGTGTTGTAACAGAGGAATTCTTAATTAAACCTAAAATGGGGAAAGGGAGGGGGAGCAAAGACACCTGATTGTTTATTTCACGTGCAGGGATTGTTAATGACGCGATCCAGCAGTCTTTCCTTGGAGTACAGTAGATACCACACACCATTGCATCCCATGGCAAGAACGATATTGCAACCAAAAATAAGCTTGTCTTTAACAGTCAACCAACACTGTTTTCGTATTTAGATTTATTAACACAAGGAAAATGCAAATGCCATTACTTTTAAAGTAAGTTCTTAGAGATCTTCCAAGACACCTAACTACCTCTGAAAGCCTGCATTTATAACGTTACCAAATGACGGAGAATCGTCTCAGTTTTATGTGATAAATACGCCCCAGCAAAATCTTTCTCCAGATTTTGAGGTTCTTAACCAGAGTACTAGGAGTTCCTTTCCGCTGGTTTAACTAATGTAATGCAAGACACCCCCCCTCTGACAGTGCTGGGGATCATAAACCAACCATGCTTCAACATCCTTTACAATTCAATCCTCTCCCTAACCGAGCACGTGGAGAAAACGGGACAAATCTTTTTACCCTAGAAAAATAAACCAGAAACCACAGCCACCTTAATTTACAGTTTCACTGCAGTCAATGCCAGATTCGATCCCAAACACACTGTTAATCGCGATTCTTTTAAAAGATTTACCCAGCCCAGGATGCGGGTACCACAGAAGCGTCTCTTTTCTGAGACAGGCGAGTTCGCGCAGCATCCGCATCGCGGACGCTGGGGGCGGGAGAGCTATCTGCACACCCCAGAGGAACACACAACGGAATCATGTTAGCGCTTCAGCAAAGTCGTCGAAAGAACTCCTCGAACAAGTTTTGCCTTCCTAACTACTACCAGCATTGCCAGAGCCACAGGGAACCCCACCCAGCCAGTGCGCCAAGTACGCATCCGTGGGGCCGGTGGGCGCCTACCTTGTTCTCCAGGCGCCCCAGCCCTGGGCTGTCACTCCGCAGGCAGCAGGACAGCCGAGGGTAGAAGCCACCGCACAGCATCTCTCCCCCACTCAGCAGCTCCAGCTGGGACATCATCCGCCTGTCTCTCCTTTTCAGGCGCTTCGGGGGGTTCCCGTTCAGGCACCTTCTCCTCCTCACTCCGCTCCCTTCGCCTCTTTCCCCAAACTTAGCATCTCCTTCAAAGAAGCCCAGAGCCACGGCCAGCAGCAGCAGCAGCTTAAAGGAGAGCATCTTCAGCATCGTCTGCCCCGGGCGGCAGGGGCCGGGCGCGGGAGGCCAGGGGGGAACGCCACTGCCCAGCAGGGGCACTAGGGCGCAGCTCCAGCAGGAGGCTGCAGGGCTGCAGGGCACTCCAGAGGCAGAGGGAGGTGGTGGGGGCGAAAATATGTAGAGCGATGCAACTTTGCGAAAGATACGAGACGAGGCGACGGGTCCAGCGCCCGAGGGGAGCCCGAGGAGCGAGACAAAGTTGTGCAGATGACACCGTCTGCAGTTGCGCCAGTGTCAGTTGGGTTAGGGGCTTTCTGCTGCAGCTGGGAAGTGGGAGGAGAAGAAGGGGCTGGAAGAGGAGGAAGAAGAGAAGACGGCCACAGAGGTTCACTTGTCCGTGTAACGGGAGTTGTTTAGGTGGGACAGTAGCAGGAACAGAAACAGCGACGGCGGCGGCGGGGCAGGCGGAGGCAGGGCCAGCGCTGGGCTCTAGATGATGCTGAGGTCTCCTCTGCCGGCGGCTGCAGCTTCTCACACAGCCTCTCATGTTTCGCTCCCTCTTTTCTTCTTCTTTTTAACTAGCGCGCGGGGAGGTGCTGCCACCGCGCGCCCCTTGACGTCACCGCCTCTCGCGCGCCCCCGCCCGGGGGGGAGGGGAGGGGGCGGCCCCGGCGCGAGCGCGTCCCCCGGGCCCGGCGGCCTCGGGCTGCGGCGAGGAGGGGCGGCGGGCCGCGACGGCGGCGGACGGAGGGGGAGGGCCGGCGGGGCCTGCGGAGCCAGCCTCGAGGGCGCGGAAGGCAGCGCGCCCGCCGCGCCGGCGCGCCCGGGTGGGGGCGTCCAGGGCCCCGGTGCCCGGCTGGCCTGGGGCGAGGGCGCAGCCCCCGGAGATTGCCCGGCTGTCGGGCCGCTGCCTCCCGCCGGCTCCTCTCTCCTCCCCTCGATCCCTCCGCTCCGCCCGGGCTAAAGGCGGCCACGCTGAGGCTCCGAGAGAAAGTGAGTAGGAGTGGGCCGCGGGAGGTGAGAAGGGAGGGGCGCCCTCCAGTGCCTTCCCCACCCCGGCCCCCGGCCCGCCCCTTCCCCCCGGGGAGGACGCACTAAGTGGGCTGGAGCCGGCGGGAGAGCTTTTCGGCCCCTTCCCCCCCGTGATTTCCAGTGTGAAGCTCAAGTTCTCAAAGATCTTTCTTGGGGTCTGACTTAGAGAAGTGGGGACCTCCCAGATGCTGCGGGTCGCTGGGTGGGCTGAGATGGTTCGGAGGTTCTTCCGACAAGGGACACCCACCCTCGCTGGAGGTCCTGCAAGCTACTGAAGTGGCACGGACGCGTGTGCGTGGCGTGGAGTGGGGTGTCCGGGAAAAGGGTTAGCCCCGGCGGCCCCATTTCGAGGGCCCCACCTGTGCCTCGCGGCTAAGCCCCGCCCCGCCGGTGCGGTCCGGGAACGCTGGTTCCCGGCCCCAGGTGGGCGGAGGGAAGAAGCTGGACGCGGCACCAGCGTTCATTCGAACTCACACACTCATATTTTAAATCGCACGCACGCACGCGCGCGCAATGCCTGGGGAGAGATTCCTGGGGGTGTCCAAACAGGCGTTAGTTCTGGAGGAAGGATTAGTTGCAGATTTGTGGGCGTCCACAGGCGCTGTGCCCTGCTTATCCCAGTGTATACAAATAAATTAACCTGCCCCCTAGCTAGACAAAGTCTGCGTAAAAAAAGCGTTTCTAAAAAGATGTCTGCGTTATCAAGAGCAGTGACTTGACGTTTACCGAATCCCAGCAACTTGGCGTCAGGATGAGCTTCTACGTGGTTGCACGCAAAATGTGCTTTTTGCTCACTTAAGTAACGGGGGAGCTGATTTCCTGGTATATGGGCTTTGATGAGGAGATAAAGGTTTTCCACTTTGGCAATGGAGGAATGTTCACCATATTTGGATTTGCTTCACTTCTTGGACACGGATTTCGCCACCCTAAATAGGAAAGTTGGTGATGGTTGAGATGGGTAACTGATTAAAGTAATTACTTTTAAAGTGGTCACAGTGGCTAGGTAAGGCTTCTGTCCCTTTCAGTGCCCGAGCCCGGATTTTCTAGTGGAGTTAAGTTTTCCCAAAAGAGGTGATTGTAATAACTGAAAACAATCTGCTAGATATTCGGCTCAGCCCTCAGCCAAATGTAGGGCCCTGATGACATACTGGGCATTTCTCCGGAGGACTGTTGTGTACACACATGACTTCTGCATACGTGTGATTGTAAATGCTGCTTTGGATCCTACAGGCTGTTTTATCTGACATTCTTTCTGCTTTAAGGACTTTTGCTATAAAGTAAATCAGGGAGCTCTAAGAACTATAAGACTTTAACTCTCTCATTTAATAGAGATGAATCCCATCAAGGTTAAATCATTTGCACAATTTTATCTAATTAGGTAGTTTAAAAACCAGGACCTAGGAACCCAATTTGGGGTAATTTCCACTATTCAAGGCTGTATTTTCAAATGTCAGTTTAATGTTCGTTTTCCAAAATAAAAATCCTTCTAAAATGGTATATCAGTGGTTTGAGCTCCCACTCCAAGTGATGAATTCATGTTAGTAGTTTTGAAACAGGCCTTCCTTATGATATGTACCTCAAGACTAAGGATGCTCAAAGGTAAATAATTTTAGTTTTAAAATATTAGACATCTGTTATAACCTGTGGCCCTATGTTTCAAGATACAGAGAGTTTATAAAAGATTACTGAAATAAGACATCCTTGTTCTTTCTAGATACATGGAAGCTAGAATTGATGCCGTCTACTGTTTGTCATGAAAGTCAGTAAATTGGGTCACTTATGAGATATAGCTGAGCTAAGTGGTACTGATATAATTTCCAAATAGTGGCTAAGCAGTGTTACACAAATGAACTAACTTCTGATTTCTTTCTTCCACAGGGAAAACTGCAAACCTCACCTACAACTAGACTGACAGCATCATTTCTTAGGAATCAGGAATCAACACTGAGTTATTTTTTAAGATTAAACCTTGAAAGCCCACTTGGAGGCTGCAGCAGGGGAGCATAGCCATCTACACACTTGAGCATGAAAAATGATCTTCTTTCATCAGGGAAGTCTCCCTCTTCAGCTAAACCACCAGAGTGGTGGGAAGAAGGGACCCCCTACCCCTTCAAATTCACCTAGTTGAATAAAATTGGCCCTTTTTAGCAAGGAACGGGAACTGCGCAAGGGTGGCCAGATCACACCTTCTGCTCACACCACCACTGACCAACCCTCTCCAGGACTACAACCTATGTTTGGGTCATGCCTTATACAAGGGCACCTGGAGTGGGAGCTGAAATCCAGCCCCGGCTTCACTCACCAAGCAGCGTGTATTGGTATGTGGCTGTATTTACCTAAAGGCTGCGATCCTTTTTCTAAAATGCACCGAGACACCTTGTAGGGGCTAGTGCCAACCCTGACCATCTCGCCCCCAATACCGGAGTCCTATCTAGGGTATATACCTTGCTTTGGATGAAGTAGCGATTCTCATGAACAAATAGGTTTATTGTAAAGGATGAAATATTTGATGCAAATTAAAATTAATTTCATAGGTTAAGCTCAAAATCTTACACATGAATGTGAATGTCTATATGTATATATGAATGTATATATGTGTATGTATATATAGTTACATGGATATATATTTTTATGTATCAGAAGTTAGGACAATTTAAATTGGGTAAGTATTTAAAATAAAACTATTTTGAGTTTCAGAATCAGTTTTATATATGGACTTCTGGACTTTATAAGATATATACTATTTAATTCCATTTCAACAAATATATTAAGTACCAGGCACTGTGCTAAGCAATATGTATACATTGATGAAAAATAATAACCTGCCTCTAGATAGCTAATAATCTAATAAGACAAATGATGAGGTCACAAATAAACTTATAAATTAAAGTAAGGGCTATGAAAGAATTGCCATGATGGAGAATAACAAGGCAAATCTATTTCAGCTTAAGTGACTGGAAAAAGCCTTTCTGGGGAAATGGTATTTCATTTGAGACCTGAGGATGAGTCATGAGTACAAAGTGACTCCACCCTGCCATTTAAAGTATAGGACTGTTTGGGTTCAGAGTAGACTTTGGTACATTTGAGGGAAAGTATAGAATAAAGTAGATAACTGAGAAAGGAGACGCTCGATGCCAAATTAATAGTTTTTTAGTATAGACTCCAAGTAATGAAGTTATTTCTATTTGTGCTTTCCTTTTGTTTTTTACGAGTGCACTTTGTTCTTTCCTACCTCATCCTCATCCATCTTTGACTCTTGCTTTAAATCTTTGCTTAACACTCAACCTCTTCTAGGAATTGTTCTAGTTTGAGTGGCCCTGCAGCCATTGCACCTCATTTAATAAGCATGTAGGTAATATATTTTATTTATTTTTATTTGTGCATCATTGATAACCATCTGAGAGTTTTTCACAAGAGGGAATTGAGTATCTGTGAGATTGTAAGCCCCACAGGGGCAGGAGGTGTATTTCCTTCTTTGGTCAACCCAGCAAAGTCTAGTTCAGTCTCATGGTACAACGACCAGCCTCTCAATAAAATGCTGCTGACTGGCCAATCTTGTTTGACTTGATACGTTGTTTTGTTTTTTGTTTTTTGTTTCTTTTTTTGAGATAGAGTCTCGATTTGTTGCCCAGGCTAGAGTGACTGCCATGGTGTCAGCCTAGCTCACAGCAACCTCAAACTCCTGGGCTCAAGCAATCCTTCTGCCTCAGCCTCCCTAGTAGCTTGGGACTACAGGCATGCGCCACCATGCCTGGCTAATTTTTTTCTATATATATTAGTTGGCCAATTAATTTTCTTTCTATTTATAGTAGAGACGGGGTCTCCCTCTTGCTCAGGCTGGTTTTGAACTCCTGACCTCGAGCAGTCCACCCGCCTCGGCCTCCCAGAGTGCTAGGATTACAGGTGTGAGCCACCGCACCCGGCCTGAAAATTTTAAATTGTTAAACAGAAAGGAACACACAGTTTGAAATGCACCATCATTAAGGCAGTTCAGGAGACCTTGCTACTACAGTGTGACTCCAGAGAGGAAAGGCAGCCAACAAAGCCAAAGAATATACCTTTTAAAAGTTAAAGAATGGTTACAGTTCAAGTAAACTGACACAATTGTAGGGCTGCTAATAGGAGTTTTTCAACAGTTATTCAGTCTTTCTTTCATATCTACTGTGTGCCAGACCCTGCTCTGGGAATAGGGATACAGCAGTGAACAAAACTCATGGAGCTTGTGTTCTAATTGGGAGGGATAGATAGATAGATAGATAGATAGATAGATAGATAGATAGATAGATAGATAGAT